CACACACACACACACACACACACACACACACACACACACAGGTTATAGTCTGTTCTCTTACACTTTCTGCAGTAATTTGTGAAATATGCAAACATTCCATTAGCACTCAGTCGGTGCTTTCCCTCTTTCTTTCCTGTTATTATTTACTTAGCTGAAATCAGCATGAAGGTCAAACTTAAGACATAAAAATCACGAGAATGCCAGTGATCCTAAATCAGCCATATCGTTTGCTTACACCCATGCAGAAAAACTGACACAGAGGATGAAAAACGGTCTTGGCAGCTCCAAGTACAAACCAACAGAAAGACTGCAAGCCATTGTTGATGCCAAACGCCTGGAGTTGGATCTGATTGGACAGAAGGCACGTTCTTTCCGGTTATCAGAATTATGCACGCACTGAAAGGAGATCAATATTATGTGAGAACAATACGTACAAAATTAATTCCTGGTATGTTTGATAACATTGTAATGCAAATGGAGGTGACATCGCAGCAACGTCACTCATTGCTGTTCACAGAGAAACTGGCACAAACTTGAGTTTAGTGTGAAGTTATAAAGCGTGTCTCAGTTAAACCATGTGATTTGTCCACCTTTTTCTCCACTTTTCCTCCACACCACACACACAGAAAGTTCATTTAGCTTGAAAAGGCATTGCAAGGCATTTATAACATTAACTATAAACAATAACATGAAAGAAAACAGTAATATCACTGCCACACAGAGTAGCAGTTCAATGAATATTAATTTAGTTGCCTGTAGTTTTAAAGACCCTCTGATTGAAGCTTTTAATTATGACGCTGAGTTGAGCAAACAGTGATTGCGAGGGGCAATGACAATTAGGCTTTTAGCTTTGTTGTTTTAAATGAACTGTGTCAGAAGGCTTTTAGCATCATCCAGATGGCTCCTTCAAACTCTGCTCTCTGTATACCTTAGATAAAACATGTTCACATTCAGTTGACCTGCAGAAAGACTTTTGAGTGGCTCTCCTTGGTGATGGGATAGAAAGGAAATGATCTTGTGTAGCCTCAAGTACTGAAGAACTGGCAGCATTTCAAGATGCTAAATCTTTAGCAGCGCTGTTCTAAATTATAGGCTTTACAGTATTGTTTACAGTTTCTCATAAATGTGACTCAAAGTCAAAGTCCCAATGCATTTCAATTTTGTCACGTCATAGAACAATGTGATAGTAAAGACCTTTAAATCACTGATATATTCCCTGAGTGTGTAAAATTAGGTTTCAGAGAGAGAGTTGTGAGAAATTGAGCTCTCATCGCAGTGTGTCCACTGGATGCTGATTGACAGAATTAGGACTGGTTCTAATTAACTGCCTTCACAGGGCGAACACAACTGGCTTGATATTAGTTTTCTACATAATTTTCAAAATGCCTCATTTTATTATTTATTTCCTGCTGCATCAAAGAGTTTTAGTTTCAGACTGACCCTGAAAAGCCTGAAACAAACAAAAAATAAAATTAAAGTGTGTGATGGTCTGTTTTAATGTTGATAAAAAAGGATTTTGAGTATTTTAACATGTTTAAATTAGTATGTTTTTATCACGCAGTGCTTGGATTTAGCTTTATTTTGACTTTATAAGAAAAAAAATCTAACTTTCTGTGTGTTGCTATAGCACCTATGGCACTGTGTCTGAAACTTCATTTTAGCTCCTGGTTCTTCAAGGTCCTCTTCTCTGAAAGGCTGTCCGCTCTGACTAGTTAACGGATTGATTCGAAACATAGGAGTGGAAGGCAGCAGTAGCTGTTTTATATGTTATATATTTACAGCGGGTAAAATAAGTATTTAACACGTCACCATTTTTCTCAGTAAATATATTACTAGACATTAATGACATCAAATTTTCACCAGATGTCGGTAACAACCCAAGTGATCCATACATACAAAGAAATCAAACCATAAATGTCT